ATTTCAAAAATGACAAGTATTTGGAGAAAGACTAATTACATAGGAGCAGAAAGAGACATGATCAATATATTTGGATAATATCCTATAAAACTCCCAGTTTTGTGTCATTGCTTATATTCCACAGCTCAACAGAAAAGCAAAATCAGAAAGAACTTTTACACACGTTGGAGATTGACAGGAACACGGAGGCGGTAGGTAAATAAGTGACCATAGCCAAAATACAATTCCTCTTTTGTGCTTTAAGGAATTATAGCCGTGAACTTCCAAGGCTGTTGCGCAAATGCCAATAATTATTATTTGTTACAATAAATAATTAATGTTGACATCAGAAACAAGAAAATCAGAAGAGGAACAGAAGCCTTTTTTTTTTTTTCCTTACTGCAATGATAAGCAAAGATTGTGTTATATTGAATAGGTGTTTCATTCATGCAGCTGTGCCCATCTTTCACCTCTAGGATATGAAATGTATATAAAAAGTCCAATAGACTTTTATCTGCCTAGGTAAGGCAGATAGTAACCATTTTCTTATGACTTATGAATGAAAGTTTGTAATAACTATAGATTCTTACAAGTCTCTTTCTACGACAGCACAGAGATTTTTAGGAGTTTATAAACAGACAGACTCAATTTCAGAATTCCCTGTGAACTGTACAGAAACAAAATCCAGTAACTTCTTTGTATGAAAATTGCAGCTTTCATGTGCAATTTTATATTAGCTGTTAGTAAAATATTTTATATAAAACTTAAGTGTCTAGAAGCCCTTTTCCATATAAAAATCTTTCAGATAAAAATTCTTCAGTTATGGAATGACTTAATTCTTCACCCATCTTAATTTTATTGAAGCATGATTAAAATTAAGTAGAAGCCATCCTTCTTCATGATCTTTAGACTCAAAGCAATTCTCAAATTGGGGTAATAAAAATTAAAAGTCATATCAGGTACATGCTTACTGTCTCTCCACTCTCTCTTATGCCCCCATGGGACAACTAAATTTTTGTTATGAAAAAACAATTGGAAAAAAAAAAAGCAATTGAAAAATTAAGACTGATATGAAAATCATGCCTTCCCTCTGCAGATATATCAAAAGTGATGAGATATTTTCTTATTTCAACTGCTAACTGTGATAGTAACCTTGCTATTCAATCACATTTATAAATCACCTATGCTAATGATGCCGACTGTTTCCAAGGGGTTTTTAAAAACACCTTGGTATCTTGTAAATTAGCCCACCAAAATATGTCACCTGTTTTAACTTTATTGAATGTATCTACCAAAGCCTGATTATCTTCTAATCTCAAACTTAAAGGTTAGTAATATTAAAATCAAATTTGACAAAGTAAAAGGTCTTAAGGTCTTAATTTCAGACAAAATAATAGGAGTTTTAGAATGCAATATCTTAATGGTCATAAAGTATTGCAGAGTATTAGACATGATAACTCTCGAAAGGTTCTCAGGAACACATGTATTTCAATATAGATACATAACTTCACAATACACTCACCTCTATGTTTGTTACCCCTGTGTTTAAATACATCTATATAATGCCATAAGGAGCTCTGGTAGCATAGTGGTTACAGATTGGGCTGTGAGCCGCAAGGTCAGCAGTTCAAAACTACCAGCTGTTCTGCGGGATAAAGTTGAGGCTTTCTGCTCCCGTAAAGATTTACAGCCTCGGAAACACTGTACAGGGTCGCTATCAGTTGGAACCAAATCCACAGCAACGTAACAACAACAACAACATATAATGCTGTGGAGTCCTGGTGTGGCATTGTAGGATTAGCACTGGACCAAAAGGTTGGTTTGAACCACAAGGTCGGCCGTTTGAATCCACCAGCTGCTACTCGGAAACCCTATACAGGATCGCAATTAGTCGGCATAGATTCTACGGCACTTATTAACAACAGTAACATAATGCAGTGGAATCTGTAGGATAAGCACTGGACTGTTAACCACAAGGTTGGTGTTTCGATTCCACTAGCCAATACAGTAGAAAGAGGAGGTTTTCTGCTCTGCAAAGATTTACAGCCGTGGAAACCCTATACAGGTTCTCTATGAGTCAGAACCGCATGATGGCACTTAACAACATCTAAGGCATATGTAGGAGTTGTCACTATAAAGTCATTCCCAACTAAAATTCCTCTAAGAAAACACGCTAATTAAACTGTAGTTCTACTTTGAATATTATGAGTATGTATGGGCTGTGAACCACAAGGACAGCAGTTCGAAACTACCAGCTGTTCCATGGGAGAAAAGATGAGGCTTTCGGCTCCCGTAAAGATTTACAGCATTGGAAACCCTGTATAGGGTCACTATGAGTCGGAACCGACTCCATGGCACATAACAACAACAACAACAACATGTGTATCTTTAACCCTTTCATGACTCATGGGCCAAAAAGTGCCTATCTACATGTTCGGCCTTTGGGGTTTAGTGGGAATCCGCTATCCAACTTTTAGTACATGCTGCCATCTGGTCAAAAGGAACCTTCACGGTGCTACAGGATAAATAAGCACTGGACTACTAACTGCAAGGTTGGTAGCTTAAACCCACCAGCTGCTCTGTGAGAGAAAGATGAAATTTTCTTCTCCTGTAAAGATGTACAGCCTCAGGAATCCTATACAGGGTTGCTATGAATCAGAAAGGGCTGGATGGTAGTAGGTGTGTGGGTGTGGCCCATCTGATCCGGGCCTTTAGAACTGAGTCAATCCGATGAAACTGACCTAATCGTTCCAACCCCATTATCAGAGACCCCTTAAGTATAATTACATCAGAACTCATATTACCTCCAAAAAAATTTCATTTCATTCAAAATGTCTTCTATTACTGAAAACACATGGTTTCAAGAATACAATTCAAAGAACATTTGGTTCCAAAAGGGTTAAGCAAAAACACTAGAGGGACCAAATTTCATTTTGGCCTAATTTAGTTTTTTTTCACTAGGAAATTCTGTGTAGTGAAGCACTGAGCTGCGTATGTAAGATGTTGGGCAGGATACCTGCCCTCCACCCACTAGATGCCAGAATCACCCCAAGAGTCATGACAATCAAAAAGTGTCCTTGGTATAGGAGAGAAGCCAAAATCATACCTATTTGAGAAGCAGTCATCTAATCAAACAGTATGAGCTCTGCTCATTTCTCTTTTGCCTTTCAGAAGTCACATAGACGGGCATTGCGTAAATTTATAAACTAATACTGCATAAGTCAACTGCATAAATCTATTTCCGGAACCGTAACAAAACCTAAAACTTCCTGATCACATTTTCAACAGACATGGGGCTCTCTGAAGTTCATCACTTACATTTTTAACAATTTGAACAAATAAAGCACTAACTTGAATGACATATTTGAGTGACGACTGTATGTGTTTTTGGTTAGTCCTTTCATATGTCTGAAGGAATATAGAGATAAAGTGAATTCTCTTTTTAAGGTAAGTATTAAACAATAACAATAATTCAAAGGAGGAATATATTCAGAATTGCAAATATAGTGAATATTTAACACAGCAGATTCACATTATACTCTCATGACATTTTTGCTACTAAATAGAATCAAAACAGCAAACCAGTTCTGCACAGAATCAATATTCTCATATTCTTGGCTTTGTAAGTAACAATAAAATCTATATTATGTTGACCAGTCATATTTTAATCGCTAATTGTGATAATAACCTCATTATTCAATCATATTTAGAAATTGCCTATGCAATGATGCCAAATTTTCCAAGGGGATTTTTATTTTTTCAATCTTGATATCTTGTAAATTAATCCATCAAAATATGCCTATGTCACTTGTTTTTACTTTGTAATATACTAAGTGTCTAATAGCAAAATTGAAGAACTTTTTGACACAGTACGTTTTTGAGACTTTTAAAAAAGAATAAAAGTCGTTAGTTCTAATGTCTCCTTTTAGTTTAAGGTATCCAATGTACAAAACCAATAAGACACTTCCTTTAGCTTTTTCTTACATGTAAACACATCCAGTTGCCTGTAGTCTTCATTGTTGTTGCTGTTGTAAGGTGCCGTTGAGTCGGTTCTGACTCATAGCAGCCCTGTACAGGGTTCCGGAGGAGCAGCTGGTGAGTTTGAACCACCAACCTATGGTTCAAACCAATATTGCGGATGAGCACTTATCCTACAGTGCCACACCAGGACTCCTGCAATTTTCATTAGAGCTTTCTTACTGTGTGTCAGCTATGGTGTAACAAGCTTTCTAAGTTAAGTAATCCTGCCTGCTACTAGGGAAGAAATAGATACTAATTCACACACCTTTAATTGCATGAGCCCTGCATTGTGTGATACATTTGGGAAGGTAGAATGAATAAACCAAGTCTGCTCATTCTGGGTTACCATTCTTGGGAAAGAGTTGCATCTCACGCTGTTACATGCATTATGAGCAACAACCAGAAAGTTGGCTTTTACAATACTACACAGTATATATATATTTTGCCATACCAGGCCACATGGATGAAGCTTTTGTAGTCACACAAGAATGAGCATTATTGAACTCTGACATAGATGTGAGTGTATGTGTGTGTGTGTCTTTGCATGCTGGTGTATGTACATACATATGCTCTTTGTGTAACTATACTATGGCTCTTTGTGTAAACATATATGATCATAGCCAGAAAAATGGATGTATTTCCATAGCTTATCTTCCAACACAATTAGACTCTATGCCATTGTGCTTTACTTCATTTCTAAACATTAAGTTATGAAACAATTATAGCAACTTAAAAATAAATAATGAATTCACATTTCACTAAACTCATAATAACATGGAAACAGATCTACTTGATACAAATTTAAAATTAGGATTTATACCATAATTTTGAGGAGGAGAGAAGGTGACTCTTATCCAGACAAACAGGATCAACACAGTCTAAAGTCAACAATGCTTCATGTTGTCTAAGTCGACTTGACAAAAGGGAAGGACGCAATTATTTAGAATTTTAAAAAGGAAGTGAATATAACATAGACTTGGCTCAACAATTCACAATAATCGGCTGTAGTATTTTATATCCTTATTAGTCAGTAACAGATTTTTTTATGTTGTTGTTGAATCTACCCCAACACCCACCCTCTGCCCTAAATAGGGCAAAAATAAATAATTTTTTAAAACTCTATGATTCTAAACCTAATATGATAGGTTTTTGTTTTTTCACTAAGCCAGTTTGTGTTGATAATCAGCAACACTTTTCCCCGGCATTTCATTTATTCAACCTTGATTAGGTCCTCAGCTTCAATAACTAGCGGTTCATCTTGTTTTTGTACTGTATCCTCTAGATTTGAACTATGTAAACAGCATCATTTCATTAGCATTTTTTTCCATCAGAAAATCCACAATGTGCTATAAAATGTGTCACAGGACGTTTCTTGTTTATCCTTGAAGTCAACATCAAAAGTAGAATTTTCCTTGTTTTTTATTTTTGTCTTTTCAAGTGGCCCATGCAAATCCATGAAACAACTTGACCATTTTCGTTTGGAATCACATAGAAAACCTAACAAAAATACCCTGGCTCAGTTCCTTCTTCTTCCATAATCCCTAGGAGGTGGAATGAAATGAAGTGTTCTTACATGGGTCTAGCTGCATTCTCAGTGCACCAATTTTATGAAGATACCAAAGTTGGAGAAATTCCTCTGGCATGGCATGGAAGCCAGAAAAGGGCAAGACATTATCATAATAGTGGTGGCTGATGGGCTGCTCATGCATATTCACAGAGAAAGGCCAGAAGCCATAGATGGCCACATCTTCACAGAGACCCAGGGCTGCACTCACAAGAAAGAGTCCTGTGGATAGGCGCTTGGCATGAATTCCTCTACTTTTCCAGAACTTTCCAATGCTACGCAGAAAGTTGGGGTTAGCAAACAGCACAGTTTGATTGGCACCCACATCAGACAACGTATAATAAACTCGGAGGGATGGCTCTGTTCCTGTCTTCATAGAAAAGGCAGGCATGTAGATATAACTGTGGTTATATACTTTCATGTTGTCCACAAATGTCTTTCTGGACCAAAGCAGGTTTTGAAACCTATAAAAGAGAAGAAGCTCAATTAAACCTGGAGAAACTCACTATATGGTGCTCTGATGACTCAGAGAGCTCAAATCACCTCAGTAAAACTGTAAAACATTTTGCTTGCATTCAAATTCTCCTTCAATTTATCAATTTTCTCTCACCAAGTAACTTGGTATTTCCCTACTCCAAAGTTGAATGTTTGCATTAAGGTTTTGTGAAAATATTGACTATACAGTGAGTAAATTGTTCTTGGAAGAAGTACAATCAGAATGCTCCTTAAAAGGGAGGCTGGTGAGAGCTCCACATGTTGTCAGGAAGGATCAGTCCCTTGAGAAGAACATCATGCTTGGCAAAGTAGAGGGTCAGCAAAAAGAGGAAGACCCTCACTGAGGTGAATTGGCACAGAGACTGAAACAACAGGCTCAAACACGGCAATGATCATGAGGGTGGCGTAGGACCAGGTAGTATTTCATTCTGTTGGACACTGAGTCAAGAAGTGACTTGACAGCACTGATCAACAAAAGGTTTAAATGCAGGTTAACATTTTTAAAGGTATTTTGTCTTGACGAAAATGAATGGTACAATTTATTCTTTTCTATAACTTATTTTTCTGAAATATAAAACTATTTAATACTCATCACAAAGATTGTTGGGTAGAATTTTGATAAAAGCTACTTGTGGAATCTGGTGTATTCCCAGGAATGGTTTCCTCATTTGCAAATCACAGAAACCATTACATCTGCCACTCAAAGTCTGATTCTACAAGTATTCAGATAAATCAATGCTATATTGTAACTGTTACTATTATATAATGATGTTGCAAGTTTCCCATACAGACCATTCCAAAGAATTCCATTTTTCTACCATCCAGATTACATGCAGAGAGAAGATCTCTAATTCAAATGTATTAACTAAAATATATGGCATACCTTCTGTAAGCCACAATTGAGAATTTAAAAAATAATGCCTTAATTTGGGGCCTTAGGAAACTTAAGTCCAGTTGTAGATTCAAAAATACAAATTTGCACAATATAATGTTCAAAGTATAATAGTTGGTATTTATATAAAGTACTGTGGAATATAGATAAAACAATTAATTCTTCTTTGGGAGACAGAGTCCTCAGATAGCTGGCCCAGCACAAAGTAAACTTAAGAATTCTTCTACGGTCATACAGTATGACAGCCAGGTTTATATTCCCCAAGCAGAATACTGAAACTTACTGATCTAAGAGAAAAAACCTATAGATTATGACATTTGAGAGTCACCCCAAAGAAAGCCATCTGGCTACCATCTTAGCCTACAGTGAATCCATCCATGAGCAGGCCCAGTTCTGCACCAAACTTCCATCCAGTAACTGAACAAGAACTGTAGACACTGAAGGAGAGTCTCCAGCACAAGGTGAGAGAAGAAAACAGGAGAAAAACAATAATAAGGAGGTTAGCAGAAGAATGATAAGGCAGGGGAAGTCACTGGGAGTACTACAAGAGTTAAAGGCAACAAAAGTAAATACTATTATATACACAATCCTGCAACATCAGTGATCTATGTGTAAACGCATGAATAGATATGCAGACTAAGTGGGAGGGAGGGTGAGAGTACACCACACCTATATATATAGGTTTGACAGAGGATATCTATACATGGGTATTTACCTTTGTTGCAAATCTAGCCATGCATGTGGCAGATCATAAAAGGGCTAAATTATGAAAACTTAGATATAACCAAACACTTTCAGGGAATTAGTTGCTGAACGTGGGGGCTCAGGACCATAGTCTCAGGGGACACCAAGGTTAATTAGCATAACATAGTACACAAAGCCAGTGTTCTACATTCTACTTTGGTGAGTGATGACTACCAATTTAAAAGCTCATAAACGGCCGGCCATCTAAGACACAACTATTGGTCTCTCTCTGTCCAGAGGAACGAAGAGTAGTGAAAATGGAAGACACGTGGATACAATTAGTCCAATGGACCATGTGAACATCAGTCGCCACTACTCTAATACCAGAACTAGACGATACCCAGATACCGTTATCAACTGATTTGAGAGGGATCATATTAAGAGGTCTTGAACAGAGTAGGAGAAAATTTGTGGGAAAAAACTCAAATTTAGAATTGCTTGTTAGATAAAGACTGTGGAACCCTGAGACCATGGAACTTCATCACCCTACAGGCCTGGAAATGAACAACAGCTCGATTTTCAGTCAAATAGTATATAGGTCTATAAAAGGAACAGCAATACTAGGGAGATATACACAACTTAAAATAATTAATAATTTAACAATTTGAGATAAAAACGGCAGTGTTTACCCAAGGACAAAGTTCAGATAGGTTAAGAGAGAAGGGGGAATGAAAACAGGAAACACAGGAAGTTTGTCCCACCTCCTTCCTGTGTTTCCTGTTTTCATGTCTTTACATGGCGGGGATTGCAATCAACGAGCTGAAACAAAATGCATATGAATTGTTGAATAGAAAACTGACCTGCTCTATAAAATTTCACCCAATTCACAATAAAAAAACTAAAAAGGAAACACGGAAGAATAAAAAACTCAGAGGAAATCCAGAACATTCAAGAGACAGAAGAAAGTGTTAAAAACTATAATTATATAAAAGTTACATAAAAAGACAACAACAGGCACATGTAAAGAGACTAAAACACATTAGTGACTACCAGAGGTTGAGGAGAGGTAAAATGGAGGGGGGATTATTACTATGGAACTCTTGAGTTTGGGTTTACAGAGACAGAAAAATCACAAGGATAAAGGTAAAGGATTTGTTGCTGTTGTTAAGTATCACTGAGTCAGTTCTGACTCACAGTGACCCTGTACAGTGTTTCCAAGGAATGGTTGGTAAGTTTGAACCACCAACCTTGCAGTTCAAATGACTTTTGAACTGCTTATCCTACAGCACCATACCAGGACTCCAGGGTAAAGGGTAGCACAGCTGATCAATGTAATTGATATCAATAAGTTGTATAACTGTAAATAAGTTGAATTAGCAAGTGTGGGACAGACATAGTTACATTAACAACAATAAAAAACAGCAACTATTTGACCTACACCTATGGAAGCAGTAGGTCAAAAGAGGGAACAAATTCTTACAGCAAGAATCATTCCCACCTCCTCCACACACAGAGTAGACAGGGATGGGCAACTTGGACATTGGCTACCCAAAATGGGGGG